GAGATGTTTGTACTAACAGAAAGGATGAAAAATCTTGGAATTAAACAAAATCGAGATTTTCCATCTCAAAACATATCTGTTTTAAAACAATACACGTGAAATTTTAATATATAATGCAAATTATGAAAGGCTTTTCTATTTTTATACCCAAATTTTACCACGTTATTAACAGAATACTAATGATTTCTGCATATTTCTTACTTTTATTGTTAGTTTGTTCCAAAGGCTAGGTTAAAGTTCTTAATTTGTAAACTTGACCACATTTTAATCATTAGAATTTTTTTTAAGATTTCATAAAATATAACACATATCTAGTGTCATGCTGCTTTAACATATACTTAAATTTATTCTTGCACTCAGTTATCCACGTATAACAGTAGTAACTATAACTTAACAGCTATATACATAGTTTCTTACATTATCAATATTATTTACAACTTTTCTGTTAGTATATGTTATGTAAGACATAATAGAACATTCTAAACATAACAATATCGGGCATGTTTATGCAATCGTGACTTTTCGGTCCTTTCCGTTAATCTTCGGAAAATTATCATGAATAATAGTCGAGGTGTTCCTATGACAGTATTATGACATAGCTAATTGAATCGTCTATCTTATATTGTGTTTTCGTATTTCTTTTTCTTTCTGCAATTCACCGTTCATCATAACTTACATAATCATAATGTTACAAAACTAATGAGAATGCATGTATGATATTTACGAAAGTAAATTTTCTGTATTGTTTATATGAATATTAATACCCTAAACATTTATCAATATCATGAATATTAATCAATATCATTTATATTCATTATTTGAATCTCGGATCCTTTACTTGTCTCTCTATAGGAAAATACAATGTACGATCGTTTAAGCTTGTCTATCGTAAGATACCACGTGATAAACTCATTTGTATATCTCGCGAGCTTATTAAAGCTTATTATATTTTCAAAATATTCCGATGTTATATAACATTGAGCATTTTAACAGGATTTCAATCTAGTTCGAAATATTATCGGAAATGAAACCGTAAAATATTCTTGATATATTTATACACAATAATACATACTTGTGTACATCAATCTATTGGACGAGACATTTTAAAACTTAATTTATTCCAACAATAGTTTTGTGATACATGTATTTGTTTAGTGGTTTTTATACCATTCCAAATTTACGTTTACATGCTACAAAAATAAAACTAGTATAAGCATGTATCCTTACATTTTGTTAAGTTTAGAAAAATTATTTTAACCATGAGTCTGATATTGGCACCATGCATATGCTTGCTATATGACGATCAACTACTACATCCGGTAGTTTTCACTTCGGGTCACGGCAGTAAGCCACATTAAATTTACAAGAGTACAGATCAGGCACCGTATTGTTCCTGGGCAGGCTGTCAATCAGTTTACCAGTACTAGTTGCTTTAAATTTTGTAAGGAACTGATAACTTATGTACATGCCAGAGTAGGGGTACCGTACAGTGCGAACGACCGTAGAAAAGATGTCATGGTCAATCACAACGGAAGTGACCTGCACCGTCTGGGAATAGAACCCGGGTCGCCCGATTCACAGTCCAACACTCTACCTATTGAGCTGACCGGAGGTACAACCGTGCTGTCCGATTATGATTTGCACTGTTAGCTGTTTAATCAGTATTTATTTTGAAGATGCCCAGAGTATTTCTACTGAACTGGTGTCATGTTATATATATAGGAAAGTATATGTTATTATATACCAAGTATTTGGCATTTTAGAAAGACGAATTTTCTTCTTTCAAAACATCGAGCACATTTCATACTAAGTAAATCTTACAAAATTACAAGCAGATTCGTATATATTTATTACACATTCATTCTTTTATCTAGAATACACGTAGATATGTTGCATGCGTGATATATATTCAGAATTCTTCGGTGATATGATTTGTAAAATATAGTTTTATTTCCTTATCCAAAAAATATTGAGTTATTTTATTATCCGAATATTGTTAAATTCCTTGTATAAAGTACATAATGTTATCTTCACTAGAAAACAACTTCCATTCCTTTATAAAATTTCAAAGCAGCATGCCTCCAGATTCATACTATTTTTATAAAAAAATGTATTTAAAAGTAAAATATTGTAAAATAACAAAGAAAGTTATTTGCCAATTGCAAAACGGCATTTACAACCCACGTAAATTACGAAGTAAAGGTCAAAATATGCAAAAATTGTCCTTACGGCGTTAATAACGCAGTAGAAATATCGTGGTAAGTATTGCAACATCAGTCATTAAACACACATAGCATGTTATTTTGAATCGACTTAAATCTTAATACATTTTGCAAGTTTGATTTTCTTGAAATATTTTGGCTCGTCTGGAGGCATGCAGCTTAAACTTGCTAGCTCTCTAAAATTAAACAGAACAGAACAATATAATAATAAAATAGAATAAATATTAACCTATATCCTACAGGCGACACTTGATTCTATTCATGCGACCAGTGCAGACATAGATCAGCCGACACATCCGGGTAGTCTGATCGGCATCAAGGTCAGCACTGTTCGCCATTCAGTACATATTTTGAAAATTTCCCCCAAAAATAAAGAATGGTTTTGTCCAGATTGAAAGATGGTCACGTTCATGCGTGGAAAAGGTTGAGAATAGTAATAGATATTCATTATCATATTCACCAATTAAATCACGTGTCCCTACAAATAAATATAAGATATGCACATGTTCATGGACAAAACATATATACATATATATATGTGATCTGATGATATGGTAAAACTATTCATACTTTGGCAGTATACAGGTATGTTTAAAGAAAGTCTAAAATTTCTAAGCGAAAATAATCATTCATATGAATGAATGTGACCACGTGATATTTTTGGTGCACTAAAACTATAAATGAAAAGCATGATTAATCTACGGACGTTTCGACTAAAAAATATGGGAAAAGTTACATTAGAGGATGATACATTTTGGCTTTAAAAGGACAAATATAAAGATATAATATATAATATATATATGCTACACAGATATTGCCATAAAGTAATAATGAATTGAGTGATTTAAAGTCCTCCGCGTTATATACTCCATTATAACAGCCTCGTTTCTATCGTTAGCCACTGATGGGGTGACTACCAGGCGCCCGGATTGCGAAAACGCAATGCATTTTGGGTAGTTGAGTCCGTCTTTTGATGTGAGCACCTACCCATAGTCGGCCATTTTTGGTAACTATGTAAACGGCGTTGTTGCATATAACAATAGTATTGTCTTGTGAGTCCGTACAAAGTCCCTGTAAAGCGCAGAAATTGTCTCCAATACGATAATCCTTATTACTGAAAACCCTTAGAAGTTTTCCTTCAAACAGGAAGATCTTAATTGAGCAGATTACCGGAATCCGATACAATAATCTGTTTTTCTCTGTTCACAGTCACAAAATACGGATGGTCGAACTCTTTGGCTCGCTTCCGTATGATCCGAACTCACTACATATCCCTCCGCTCGGATAGAGTACATAAATACAATGCTTACAAATATCGGAAATTATCATAAAATTGTCGTGGTTCTAATTAGCTAGACCGTATGGAAATTCCAGAAACGAATCACTTCCATATTTGTTTTGAAAATCACCATTTTGAGAGAACACTTTGACGCATGCGTTAACACTATCTGTGACAGCAATACAATCATCTGTAGTCATGGCAACACTGATTGGGTAACATAAATTACCAGGATCTGTCCCGCGCATTCCAAATTTATGTTTAAATGTACCCTCACTGCCGAAGATTTGAATTCTGTGGTTTTCGGTATCAGAAATAACCACGTCACCTGAAAATTAAACAAAGATATGATTAAATGATGAAATTAAACCAAGAAATCATGCATTGTGTAAGAATGCATTGTCGTTCGGACTTTTCATACTGCTTTGATTGATTTAGTTGGTATTAAAAATATACATGTATATGATATTAGACAGGGGCTAACGAAAGGTGAAAATGTTTACTCTACTTTCTGAGGGAAGAACTAGTCAGAAGTGTGTTGGTTTAAACATTGATAACTCTACACCTTTCAGGGTCCAACAGAGCTTACACATCTTAGTCCATGTAAAGTTAATATATGATCTTTACAAAATTAAAACATAAGTATAAAGAATGTATAAGATCTTAATGTGTGTGTCTTTACTCTAATTCTTTAAACTAATGATATCACATGACGTGTATGCATGTCGTACATTAAGAGTATCTGACAGTAATGATTTTGTGTAAGTCTTAGATTTATGCAGAAAGAAACTAAGAGACTGAAAGTCTTAACTTTGGCGGTACATTGTTTTGAACATTTCAAAAAACTCATATAAAAATATATTTGTTATTTGGGGCTCAAATTGGGATCTATCCATAAACAATTTTCAATCCTACGCATGATTAATCGTTACTATTCCCTTTAGAAAACATAGCAAGTAAAAGGAATGAGAAATCGTTTATATTTGTTTTAATCTTTTTCCTCGGTCTTTAAACATAAAATGTTTCCATAATTTTTGGGAAGCCTCACCCCCCCGCACAACACTCCGAGCAAACATTCAGTGCCCTTAACAGTTTAAATTTAAACTATACGAGCAACAATTCCGTCAAACTAGGTCAATTCGAACAGAACATATTTTTTATAATAATTATGTGGCAAAATTTAGAATGGATGAGAGTGGGTTTACTATAAAGCGGGCTGGGAAATTTTTTCCCTTTGGGTGCGCATGATTAAGATATTTTTGGTTTTTTATTATTTTCGAACTCTATTACGAAAAAGTTGGAAACTAAACGCCTCGCTTGTTGAATGTGATTTATGTCTTTACTATGTAGTATCGACATTTGTATATTATTGTAACTTAATCTCGAGGAAAACTTAAAATAATATCAAACCCGTCGTTAGGTATGACCCTTGTATAAAAGCAACTTGGTTATGACACGTGATGTACACTAAAGTAAGGCCATAAAAGCCTCTTTTACTTCCATATTACCATAATTGTTTCGAAAATTGATAATGTCTGCACACTTTTGATGAATAATATAGACCTCAAAGTAAATTACTCCTTCTTGCTTTGGAATATATTTCTCAGGCTTTCTTGCAACGATATAATTTGTAAGTAATAATAAACAGAAACGATTATTTCATGCTTAGATCTATGTATATGACTGTAATAGATTCTTTAAATAATTAATTCATGTTTTTCTTAGTAATTGTCGGTCTCTGTTATGTGTATATACAATCATAATTTTACATTTCAAATACTATTTCCGTTGGTTGAACAATTGATTAAACTAAAAAAAAAAACGTTTCATTTGCAATATATTTGCATTTCATATTGATAATTCTCTAAGTTTATAATACTATGAAAATACTGTTATTAAAGAACCAATATCGAAAAAAAGAGTTTTCGTCATCTTACTGTATTATATACTTATAAATAAAATATTGACAAATATTGATGAAATAGCGTGCATATTTTTATTTTCCGTATTTTCACTGTAAAATTATTTTTTTTCATTGCAGTGAAACATAAATTGTCCGTTTTTTCACTGGTGTCTTGCCAATGTACTTCTTTCTCTTTTTTCCAATAAAAAAGGGATCGATTTTCATCTCTGTTATGAAAATTATCATATTTCACTCGTGGCTACCGACACTCCTGAAATAATTATTTTTTAATACTACTCGATGAAAATAAATCCTGTATTTATAGAGAAAAAAACTTGAATATCCTCTATATATTTCTATATTGGGTATTGTATCAGTACACAATACACTAACTTTTGTTGTTGTTGTTGTTGTTGTTTCTTGCTTTGTTTTTTATATCAATAAATTTAGAAGTAAAAAATACAAGCTCTGTCAGAAAATGCGGTTATTGGTTTAAAACGCTATACATAAAGAAATGCTATTTTCATACGTTGTTGCGATACGTGGGGAAAATATACCTAATAGAATAAGTGTTCCGATTAAAACCTGAGTTTTCTTTGATGTGCAGACGATTGATATTTGTTTTCACAATTTAAATCAGCACATCTGTGATATTTTTCCAACGAACGTTATATAACTTAACTATAAACGAACGCCATTTTAAAAACAATCATATTATGCAATAATTTTTAAACTGGAGTTAATATAACGAAAATGATCACCGTTCATTAAAATACACATTAGGAGATCGTGACAGTACACACATTAGATAAATAATATATTGTGAAACGATATGTAAATTAGGATTTTAATATTCAAAGCTGAATATCTACTTTGATTGTTTCTTAAAAGCTCAGTGTGCCTCAGAAACAAAAAAATACTTCATTAGAAATGACAAACATTAGATTTATAATTTCTAAATAATGGTTTTAGGGAATGTTAGATACTTGTTACTTGAGGAAAGTAACGATAAATGTGTAATAATTTGTTATAAAACAGTTTAAAATAGCAAAATGTTAACAAAATAGTATTTTAACTTCCATACAAAATACTAATTTACTTAAACTGAACTTATTGCCGAAAAGCAACAGATGAAAACAAAAGGTTGGTAATTGCCCTATGAGTAACCGTTTGGATGCTATAAAAGTACACGTAAATTAAAATTTAAAGCTTTTGAGAAATAAAAAAAAGCAATAAATGGCAACATGGGCCCTTAAGTCATTGCAATATTGAACTTGTTACGCCGAATATATAGCTCTCAACCAATGGTGCAATTAGGTCACGATGGAGATTTGGACAACGCGGAATAATAACGAGATAATTTTAATTTTGTGAAAACGTAAGTATGGTAAAGCAAGTATATTTTTACCATCACAACCAGCCATAATTATTTTTGCATTTGCTTTGACGTCAATCTCGGCTAAAATGTCATATTCACTTGATCTGCAAGTCTACGTGCGGTTGTGAGTGTATGTAAATCTATTACGTAATTTATATCGTCTCAGGAATCTATTATTCGCTCTTTTATTTCAATGAAATTCTTGAATGTAGATTTTATTTGTAATTTGTTGAAAGAGATAGCTATTCAATTGCACAGCCGTTTTATGTTTTCGATTTTTTCTATGATCTTTAGATGGTGATTTATTTTCTACGCCAACAAGTTTGCCACTATTAAAGTTCAGACACGCCTGTAAATGGAACTTAATTAAAAACAAACGTGCAATTCTTGCCATAGAAAATTTGTTTTCAGCATTAAGTGGAAAGTACTAAGGTTAAGGTCACTTGCTTTGACGAAATTCAGATGTGGAGTAGCTCGTATAAAAACTTGAAGCTGGTATCTATGAAAATATTGATGTAGACAATAGGATTTTGTCCAATATGTAAAAGTACAGTTGAAAAAATGAAAATCATTTATTTTTGTCATGCAATGAATAGGAACAAATTATATTATCCTTGCTAGAAAAAGCATGTATAAGTAATTAAATGTCAGAGATTGCGAACTTATTTGATGAAGACAAACTTGTATCTATATTTTCCTAAAATAATATTGTTAAACTTGCAGCCAAAACCTGTTACAATATTCTTCATTTTCGCAATAATTTATTGTATAAATAGCAATTTCCAATTTTCTTTTTACTTTTTGTTTTAGTAAGGATTTTAAAACTCTCTTACTGTGTGTGTGTTTTGCACACCAGTCGTAAGATAATATCTCGTTTTAATAGTTTCTGACTTGAAAATGGTCAAACTTGGACTCACTTCAGTTCAAAAGCAAATACACTACTTTTAGACAGTTCAGTCATTCATATATGATATTGAAATTATTTCTATTATTTTGTATTTTTAGATGTAATACATGTTTCTATACATTATGTTTATATTATGTAATAATAAGTCTCTTATAATTCTATTGAAGAATGGTCATATTTATCTTTTATTAATTTCATTATGATTTATGTATGTGAAATTGTAATGTAGGTCCCTATATGAGACTAACTTTCACCTATTGAACAGTATTTAATGAATATAAATTTCGAATCATGAGAGGTATGCAAACTTTTCCTTCCTCTACTTTGGGTATTTTCACATTTTTAAGGACCAAAATAAAACGAAAGTGCTTGCTTTGTAAGTAACGTTACACTGATTACAGACCATGACATTCTTCACTTGTATACTATAAAACATTTATCAGACAATTTGTTATGCTGTGAAAAATATCATCAACAATTCACAGAAGCCGCGACACAGTGATACCTAATGTAAATTTGATCAGTAGAGATCAGTAAAGAAAGGCTTGTGCCGATAACAGTTACACGCTGGTGTTTCCAATTGAAATGACGTCATTCTCGGATAATGTGACATCTCTACCTAGCTTCTAATCTACGTGCGAATCTGACAGAAGAAATCGTGATTTCCTGCTACGTCTCGTTACTAAATATAGCGCAATTCCAGTTCTTGCAGCTCATGCTTCATGAAAACCCGGTCACCGTAAAATACTTTGAGGGAAAAGGAAGATAAAAGAAATTTTAGTGATTTCTTTTTTTCAATTACTCATGTGTTACTTTTGTTCATAAATATTTCTTAAAGTTAGATTTTTTTAAACTAAAACGTACAAAACCAGGCGTTTCTAATGTTTTGCAATGCTTTAACATGAAAGATTTTTGTTCTCATTTAAGATGTACGTGTATTTTGTATCATTTTTTAATCAAACAATGTATGATTGTATATTAATTGATGATGATAAAGATAAATTTCACAAGACGTGTATGCATGGCATCGAAAAAAACTGACAGTAATGATTTTTGAAGTTCTTAGAGTAATGCAAAAGAAACTAAGACTAAAAGGCTTAAACTTTGGCAGTACATTGTTTTACACATTTCAAATTCTAT